AAAAGAAAATATGCTAATATAATGCAGATGAATAATTTAAATAACTTTTACAAAATAGTTCCCAAACTGCAAGCACATTTCCTCTTAGCAGTTGGTCTGTCCCTCGTGGCTTCACTTTTCTGCTTACCCGCCTGGACCTCATGATTGATCATTTTTAAAATAATTATTTCTGCCCCTCCCCCCCCCCCCATTCTCTCTGCTTTGTACTGTACCTTCCACTCTACCCACCCTGCTATTCTCTACATTTTTAGGTCCTAGGCTGCTAGTCACTCTTTTTTTTTTTTTTTTGGTGGGCAGAAAACCAAAAATTGCAATGCTAAAATAAATATGTTTAGATATTAATTTTTGTAAATGTTGATCTTATAAATGTACTTCATTTGAGAAGAATATATAAATCATTTCTTGTTCCAGAAAAGCAGCAAGTCTCTTGCCTCAATTGAACTTCTTAAGGGTTATGAAGTAAAGAAGAAAAAATGTTTAAACATATGAAATGCTAGAGTTTTATTGTCAAATAACATTTTATGGTCATAGTAGTTTGGAAACTTTTTTTCTGTATAATACAATACTCCCTTCCCCATACCCACCAGTATTGTTGTGATTGTTTAGTTTTTGCATACCCAACATTCAAATATGGCTTTTGAGACTCATTGGGTACCAAAATAGGGTCCTGCTAATACTGACAGTGCTATGTTTAGCCCTATGTTTACATTTGCTTAGGGGGAAAAGATCAATACGAATTAGGGAGAAAACTAAGGGTAATTTGGGGATAATTTGATAAGATCCTTTAGAAAAGAACTTTGGTCTATATGTCAAGATCATTAAATAGTCATACCCCTTAACCTAGTACATTCTGAGAAAAAATTGAACAAAGAAAATATTAATTAAAAAAAATCTATAACATAAAAAAGTTTGTTGTAACATTTTTTGTACTAGTCAAAATTTGATAACATCCTAAATATTTATTACTATAAGTAGTGTAACTAAATTATGGCACATTAGTTTACTAGACCTTTTTGCAGCCATTAGAAGAGGTCAGTGGGGGAAAAGGAGGGATATATGTAATACTTTCAACAATAAAGATTTTTTAAAAGATAGGTAGATGATAGGTAGGTAGATAGATAGATAGATAGATAAAAATTAATAACCCAACAAGGAAATTAAGAAAACAATTCCCTCTGCAATAGCCTCAAAAAAAAATAAAAATAAAGTATATTTAATCAAACAGGAGAAAGATTTGTATATGGAAAACTACAAAACATTAATACAATGAAGAAGACCTGATAAATGGACAGACATCCTATGTTCATGGAAGACAATATTGTTAAGATGATAATACTACCCAAAGTGATTTACAGATTCAGCTCAAAATCCCAATGGCAATTTTTACAGATATAGAAAATCCATTCTAAAATTTATATGGAATTTCAAGGGACCCTGAATGACCGAAACAGTCTTAAAAAGGACAAACAAAGTTGGACAACTCAAACTATCTATAATAATAAAAGCATAATATGCTAATTAGACCAGACAGCTGAACAACTTTCTGGATGTCATTCCGGACGAAGCCGCTGTGGCGGGGGCCAAGGCAGAGGCGGTTAGGGATGATCAGGCAGGCAGGCGAGCAGTTAGGGATGATCAGGCAGGCAGGCGAGTGGCTAGAGGTGATCAGGCAGGCAGGCAGGCAAGTGGCTAGAGGTGATCAGGAAGGCAGGCAAGCGATTAGGGGTGATCAGGCAGGCAGGCGAGCAGTTAGGGGTGATCAGGCAGGCAAGCAGTTAAGGGTGATCAGGCAGGCAGGCAAGTGGTTAGGGGCAATTGGGCAGGCATCCAAGTGGTTAGGGGCAATTGGGCAGGCATCCAAGTGGTTAGGGGTGATCAGGCAGGCAAGCAAGCAGTTAGGGGCATCAGGCAAGCAGAGTGGTTAGGGGCGATCAGGTAGACAGAGGGATTAGGAGTGATCAGGCAGGCAGGCAAGCAGATAGGGGCATTAGGCAGGCAGGCAGAGTGGTTAGGGGCAATCAGGCAGGCAAGCAGGTATGCCGTTAGGAGCCAGCAGTCCTGGATTATGAGAGGGATATCCAACTGCCTAAATCAGCAGTCGGACATCCCCCAGGGAGTCCCAGATTGGGAAAGGGTGCAGACTGGGCTGAGGGACCCTCCCCCCACCCCATCCTCCACCCCATGTATGAATATTGTGCACCAGGCTTCTAGTCTGATTATAAAACTTACTACAAAGCTACAGTGATTAAAACAATGTTGTACTGTCATAAGATAGACATAGACCAGTGATGGCGAACCTTTTGAGCTCGGCGTGTCAGCATTTTGAAAAACCCTAACTTAACTCTGGTGCCGTGTCACATATAGAAATTTTTTGATATTTGCAGCCATAGTAAAACAAAGATTTATGTTTTTGATATTTATTTTATATATTTCAATGCCATTTAACAAAGAAAAATCAACCAAAAAAATGAGTTCGCGTGTCACCTCTGACACGCGTGTCATAGGTTCGCCATCACTGACATAGACTGATGGAATAGCATAGAGAGCCCAGAAATAAACCCTTACACATGGTTAGTAGTTTCTCCACAAGGTTGCCAAGACCATTCAATGGAGAAAAGATAGTCTTGTCAACAAATGATGCTGGTAAAACTGCATATCTACATGTAAAAGAATGAAATTGGAACCATATTGCATACTGTATATAAAAATTAAGTCAAAATGGACTGAAGACCTAGGATATAAAACCCATACAAGAAAACATAGGAGAAAATCTTCATGACCTTGGATTTGGCAATTGTTTCTTTTAAATAACACCAAAAGTACAAGCACCAAAAGAAAAACAGTGAAAAAGACATCGCAGAAACAGAGAAATATTTGCAAATAATATATCTAATAAGGACTCAATATCCAGAATATATAAAGAAAACCTACAACTCAAAAAAAAAAAAAAAACCTCAAAAAATGAGCAAAAGACATTTCTCCAAAGAGGACATACAAATAGCCAATTAGCACATGAAATAGCAATTTCGGCAAGGAAGTCAAGAAATCGGAACCAAGCACATTGTTGGTAGGATGCACCCACTGTGGAAAACAATTGGCAGTTCCTGAAAAAGTTAAATATAGAATTACCATATGACCCAGCAATTCCACTTCACTCCTACCTAGATCCAAAGGAATTGAAGATAGGTACTCAAACAGATACTTATATACCACTGTTCATAGCAGCATTAGTCACAATATCCAAAAAGTGGAAACAACTGAAATATCCATCAATAGATAAATGAATAAAGAAAATGTGCTATAAACATGCAGTGGAATATTATCCTATACTAGAAGCCCGGTACATGAAAATTCATGCATGCAGGGGGGTCCCTCAGCCCAGCCTGCCCCCTCTCACAGTCCAGGAGCCCTCAGGGGCGGGAGGCAACCCAGCGATCAGGAGAAGGCGACGCCTCCATCATACCTCTGCTGCTGCCACTGCCGGCAGTGCAAGCCTCAGCCGGCCCTGGTTACCCGAGCCTCGGGTGGCACTGGGTGGCTGGGCAGCCGCCATCCAAGGCTTGCCTGCACCTCGGGCCGGCCCTGGGGGGGCTGAAAGCAGGTCTGGCTGCACCATGCACCTGCCACCCCTACCCCCTGGCCGGGCTGAAAGGACTGGGGGACTCTGGCAGGGCTGAGGGGACTGGGCGCCGCCATCTTTGTGACAGTGTGACAGTCAGTTTGCATATTCCCTCTTTATTAGATAGGCTAATAGAAGGGTAATATTCAAATTGACCGAATGGTGGAACGACTGGTCACTATGATGCACACTGACCTCCAGGGGGCAGACGCTCAACGCAGGAGCTGCCCCCAGCCTGCAGGCCCAGATGAGGAACGGGGAACCTGGGGTGGGTGGTGGTGGATGTGGGCAGCACCAGGCCAAGGCCCCCACCCCACCAGTCGCCCCACACACAGAGGGCAACTGGCGGCGGGGGGCACAGCCAGTGAGCGGGCAGGAACGGCCAACCTCTCAGTCCCTCCCCCCGGCTGGCAGCCTCTGATTGCCCGATGGCGAACGGGGAACCAGGAGTGGGTGGTGGCAGGGGGCTGGCTGCCGGCAGCCCAGGAAGATGGCCCTGATCACACGCCACGCCTAGGGACCGTACCTGTGCACAAATTTCATGCGTCGGGTCTCTAGTTTAACGATAAAAGGGAATACAGTTCTGATACATGGTACAACATAGATGAACCTTGAAAACATTACATTAAGTGAAATAAGGAGATATAAAATATCAAATATTATGTGATTTTACTTATAAGAGGTACCTAGAGTAGGCAAGTTCACAAAGACACAAAGTAGAATAGAGGTTTCCGGGAACTGCGGGGGAGGGAATGTTTTGGCTTCATGGGAACAGAGTTTCTTTTGGAGCTGATGAAAATGTTCTGGAAATAGATACTAACGATGGTTACACAACAGTGTGAATATGCTTAATGAAATGGTTAAAATGGTAAATTTTGTTAATGTTTTAATCATAGTTTTTTAAAATGTTAATTATACATAGTGATTTAGGTACATAAGTTATCTATTTTACAAATAGAGATGGAAGGAAATATGAAGGCTTGGAAAAATTACTAAATTTTTTGATTATATTATTTTGAATAAAAATAAAGCTCAAATAAAAGATTTTCCTTTGTAGCCAGTGGATATTCATTAAAAGAAGAGAAATTTTGCATCACATAGCTTCTCAGACTGACAAATGGTAAGAAAATATAGTTAACCCTTCCCCACAATTGGAAATAATATTTTATTTAATTTTTTCTTTCCTTTTACATAATCATTATTGTTGTTGAGAATAGCTATATTGATTAATTTTTTAAACTTTCCAATTTACACAGGGAAAGCTTTTCAGAGTAATTATTGTAAGGGAGAGTAGGTATACTGTATCTGTGCTAGAGCATTTTGAATACTTTTAGTTTCTTGTAAAATTTTCTAGGTTTTAATGAAATCTGTTTTTCTTTAGCTTGACAGGGCCAACTCTCTGTTAAATCAAGCTCAACAACCTTACAGATATCTAATTGAATCGGTGCGTCAGAGAGATTCTAAGATTGATTCACTAAAGGAGTGTATTACACGGCTTGAGAAAGATGTCAGGTAAATCATCTACAAATCTTTTATTTGAGTAATAACATAATACTGCTATAGAGGAATTTGCTTTGTATATTATGGAGAAAAAATTAGCTAATGATAGTGGTTTTAAAATGTAATGAGTATTGAATTTCTATTAGAAAAACTAGGTCACATCACATTAGGTGTTCATATTCCACTTTATGGTCAGAAGTTTTAGCCTGACATAACAATGCTACACATTTAACAAAGCACTTTACTAGCATGACAACTATCCGGTCCTCGATCCCTAGATACTGTCTCTATTGGATTGACCAAAGAGAGAAGGGGAACACAACCAGATGCCATTTATGGAGTCAAAATTACTTTTTAAACATAAAATGTATACATTTACTTAGATTCCTATTGACTTTGCCAAGGAATTTTTAGGCCTTTTTCCTCTGAATCTTTAAGTATCCCATGAATTACCTAAATGTACATAAAATTATTTCACTTCCTTATATTGAAGTTGTTTTCTTATATAATACCTTATCCAAAAGACTTGCTCCATTTAATAATTACCCAAATTCTTTAGATGTTCATCTATATGATCATTTTAGTCTTTTTAAATTGCAATAAAAGAATGATGCTATTCATAAAGAAAAAGGTTTTAATTTGTGAATGGTTGGCTAATTGACTTGTTAGATTTTAAGCTTATTAGAATAAATTATTCTAATATACAAATTACTACCTATTAATAAATATTAAGCAGAGAATAAGATGGAAATTGTTAAATTAAGGAATTGGAAAACAGTAAGGAGAAAATAGTTTTTAAATCCAGGTTTCCTAAGTTTGGTTTTATTTTTTTGTTTTTGTTTTTTTTTTATTTTTCGCTAAAAGTATTACAAAGGGTATTACATAAGTGTCCTTTCCCCCCCCCCCCACCCTTGACAAGCCCCTGCCCTCCCTTACCCCCCAGTGTCTTATGTCCATTAGTTATGGTTATATGGATGCATACAAGTCCTTCGGTTTGGTTTTATATAACCAAAAATATAAAACTCTGGGTTATCAACTCCAAAGGGTGTTTTGTTGTTGTTGTTGAATCACATAATTATCTTCTCTTGTTTCTACCCCAACCAAAATAATAGGTCCAGAACTTTACTCCTGATATAATTTTTGATGATTTAATGAAATAATTTAAAATCACATTTATGCTTTAAACATCAACATAAATAATTTCTTTCTAGATAAACTTAGTTAAAATTATATTTAGAATATATATAAGCCAGCATTAATAAATCAAATTAATTAAACAATTATTCTATAAATAGCTACTTGGGGCAATAGATTCTGTTTTATCATTTACAGAGTACCTGGTTATCTTAGGGGAATTGAGAAAAGAACCCCTAATAAAATTTTTTCTTCCTATATTATGTTTCTGTTATAGTTGAAATTTTGTATTGAGTCATTTTACCTTTGTAATCTTGGAGGAGGATATATAAAAGGCCTGTGGAAAAAATATTGCCTCTTTCACAATTACATTCAAATCATTTTATTTGAATTTTTATCTTAGATAAAAATTTAAGAATTAAAATAGCTGAAAATGTTGACTATAGGGAAAAATAATAGATGGCTGTAGGAGAAAATTATAAAGATGAGCAAATTCAGCCCTAGGGAAATGAAGCAACTTTTCTTCCAAGAACATAACAACTTTTTTGTAGGGCCAAAATTTGAATCCAGATCTGTCTGCTTTCTAATTCTATAGTCTTAATCATTATGTTATACTGCCTCCTTATGTTCTATTCTGAATAAGGAATAATTTTTCATTGACTAGTATAATTAAAGAAGAAAAGCCAAAAAATAATGTAGAAAAATGGTTAAAAGTAGGGCTTAAGTAAATTGGTAATTGTGATAAGCGCGATGGATATGTTGGGTTATATTTTCTCTCTTATTTCAAAATATTTCATAATGAAGTTAAAAGAAAACAGATTTTAAAGGAGAAGTAAATTACATGAGCTCAACTCCAGTATTAGTTTTAAATTGGAACAAGTCAACTGAACTCGCCCAGTGGTTGGCAAACTGCAGCTCAGCAAACCGAGGCTCGCGAGCCACATGCGGCTCTTTGGCCCCTTGAGTGTGGCTCTTCCACAAAATACCGGCTCTTTCACAAAATACCGACTTCTGCACATGGGCCACGAAGTTTCAGTCGCACTGTACGTGCGCGCCCGCACGGGGGTATTTTGTGGAAGAGCCACACTCAAGGGGCCAAAGAGCCTCATGTGG